TCCAAAGCAGGCAGAAGCTATTACACTTGGAGACAAAGAAGCCTCCAGGGGAGATGAGAGACATGGAGCAGTGAGTGGGAGAGACTGAGCAGCTACTGGAAGTTAAAGGCACTTAACTGTAGACTTTTGTTGGGAAATGAATGTGAATACATATTTATGGTGTGCTGCAGTTCTACATGATGTGACTTTGACATGAGTAAATGTTTATCCTTAAAAAAATCATGTCTGGGTTTTTTTTTTAGGAGTATTGCATAAATAGGCTTGTCGGATTTCAGGTTTCACATTTATCAGTCATATTTTTTATTTTTATTTTCCCATAATTATCTATAACCCTAATCCACACCCTTCGGTAGACAATGTTTTTCCTTAGTAAATTTATTAAACCTTAATTGTCCTTGATAAATTAGCAAAGGTGTTCCTTTTTTAGGTTGTTTATGGGAGAGTGTTTACAGTGGGTTTCCCCTCCTGCTCTGGTGATGGGGGGGGGGGGGGGACTATTCTGGAGACTCTAGATTAGATTGTAATTGAAATTCAAAGTGCCTAAATGAGAAGCCAGCACTGAAAGACAAACAGAGGGAAAGGCAGTTGAGGCTATCGGCCACAGTAAATGCCATTATTTGGTTTATGTGCATACAGCAATTATAGCAGTTGGGCATCAGTGTAACTTTTTTAGTTGGAGTCTTGGTTAATCGGCTGTGTGCGGTTCCACTCTAGCCCTGCTGCTGTTCAGACCACCTTTGAGTCACTAGAGGTTTTGTCCTCACCTGTACCTTGTCTTGTCTGAGATTCTGCAATGGGTCTTTATCATGGTCCAGTGGAAGTGAAAGGACTCGTCCTTTTGTCATTCTTGTGTGCCAGACAAGCACAAGAAGATCGAGTGGACAACTCTGATGGTGGTCGTTGCAGTGGACACAAATATTTGTCCACACAAATTTGTCTGGGTGGTTGAGTCGGTGAGCGAAAGGTAATTACCTGCACTCAAGACACCACAGAACAATGAAAGGGAAAGGAGCAGATATTCAGTTTAAATTGATTTTTTTTTTCATTGTAAGGATATTTTTTAAACGAAATTCATCATTATGCATCATAAATGACATATGGCATAAACTTATAAATCCTATTTTAATAATGTTTATAAGGTTTCTGCAGTATTGAACACAATTAGTACAGTTAGTACAAGCAAGAGATCCAGATTTTTTATGGATACAATTGATTGTGGGTGTGTGGTGACTGACTCAGCATTAGTCACTACATTAAGCAGCAAAATGTTGAGACTCACTAACTCGACTAACCCTACTAACACTCACCAGTCTCAGACCAGCACTGCTCCTCACACACACATCAGAATAAACCAAATTACTAAACAGTCTAAAAATACATATCTGGAACATTGGGATCAGGAAACCAAAACACAAAGTAAACTACAATTCTATCGAAATCTGAAATCAAATTATGAAATGGAGGAATATCTCCAGAGTGTGAGAGACACAAAGCAGAGACAGATCCTGAGCAAGTACAGGCTGAGTGAACACAGTCTAGCCATCGAGACCGGCAGACACAGAAAGAGCTGGCTACCCCGAGAGCAAAGGGTGTGTGTTCAGTGTAGGACAGGAGAGATCGAAACAGAGACACACTTCCTCCTCCACTGCCACAAATACAGCTCCATCAGAGACCTCTACTTCAAAAAACTTAATAACTTAATACACAACTTTACAGCCATGACTGAAGTAGAGCAGATAAAGATAATACTAGGAGAGGGACAGACCGCAGCACTGGCTGCCAGATACGTGTGTGCGTGCCACAGCCTGAGAGACAGTAGGTGAATGTGTGACCTCAGTATGTTTCCCTAATGTCCACCACAGTGACCCTCAGTAATGTGTGTATGTGTGTATATATGTATGTTAAAATACTGTGGTATCAAACGTTCATAGAATTTATAATCTGTTACACTGTTATTTTTTTGCAATTAATTTAATTTGTACATTTCAATTTAAGTTGTTATAATACTTTGTTTTTATTGATGTCTTCACTATGCTATGTGTTACAAGCTTTGGCAATATTGTAATATGTACAGTCATGCCAATAAAGCAATTTGAATTGAATTGAATTGAATTAATGATGAAGGAACCTGTGTCCCTGAAAGGCAATTCTTCTCAACATGTCTTAAGGAGTGTTGCTACAACATGCCTGTTTGCCATTAATACAAAAGTGATAAATAGATATGAATGCATGAATTCAGGCTGGAATCTGTTGGGTCAGTGTTTGATTGTCCATCCGTGTGTGAGAAAGTTAACTGCAGCTACTTTGACTTTGTTTGTATCACAATCTCATTTACATGTATCAGTGTAATTAGTTGATGTAGTTAACTGAAGATGAACATCAATGCTAAAAAACAAAAACAAAAACAAATTATTATACATGCACATATGGATGTAAACAGTGCTGTTTGCTGAACATATACTTGCCAAAGCTCACGTATCATTTACAAGCCATAAGTGTGTAAGGGTGGAGACTCTGGGATTGTGTTCCTTCATAAAATCAACATTTTCCTTATCTGATCTCCCTAAAAATCCAACAAAAAAAGCTTGCATGTCTTAGACTAAATACTCAGTAATCTGCTGCTTTATCTGTTAGCAAGCAAGGTTTGCTTTACACAAACATTATGAAATGTTTTCATTTAGAAAATAACATGCAAGTGAAGTGTTGGTCAGACAGCTTCAGTTCATTATGGCTAATGAGTATTTTTTTTGTTTGTTAAATATATCATCAAAAGCCAATTACTGTGTGTGTATGTGTATAAACGTGCCTGCATGTTTTATCAAAGCCATATAGTTTTCAGGGAAATGCTGTAAAACCCAAGAAGGAAATTCTAGGCTATGCAAACACAACACATATATCTGGTCATATTTACAATATTTTCATATTTTTGTCAGTGTTTGATTTTTTTTTTTTAAAACATCAACATGAAATGCACACAGTAGATGGTTATAATTTTCTCAAGGGGTTTATTTCTGTCCCTACTTATTCTAGGCCCAACATTCATTTTTTATTCTCTTAATAAAATATTTGGTATCTGCCTATCTGTTTGTCGACGCACATTTATCCATAATGTTAATCTTAGCTCTTGAATCAAGTGGACAATGAAAAAAATTCTCTGTCCACATTAGGCATCTTGTAAATACAACTGAATGTCTCCGGGAAGACGGTGTCCTGTCTGCTAATCTGCAATCTCCTTAATTGTGTTTAGAAAACCACAAAGAGGGGTAAAAAAAACAAAAAAACAACGAAAACTCTAGTTCCTTTCAAGGACAGGACGCATAAGGCTCTTATCGCAAAATAGTAGGCTAGTTTGGAAAATGTATCATAGCGGTCAAATAAACAAAATAAATAATAGCTAATAACAATAGCCCTATGCTAATAATAAACACAAATAATAGTGTTACATCATGCAGTTTTGATGTTTTAAAGACCAAGCACATGATAAAGCTTTAAACAAAGTAAATGGTGAGAATATTTCGCACGTATGTTGCCTTTTGATTTTTACAATTAAATTAAACTTACTCAGCTTGTGCTGGGGAAAGGACACCCTTATTATTTCAGGAAACTATCCATTTCCATCTCTCTCTCTCTCTCTCTCTCTCTCTCTCTCTCTCCAGACAATGCAATTGTACCGGATTCTGAATTACGTAAAGGGTAAAAATAACTGGGCTATATAAACCGACAGAAACAGATTGCTGCTGTTTGCACAGAGCAAAAGAAAAGGCACGAGAAAACGTGTCGTTGTTTCTCTGCAAATAAAATATTTGAAGCAATTTTGAAATAAAATGTATTGGCTTTACACTTTAACTGTCGGAGATGTTTAATGCCACGTCTTGAAGGCATCAGGTGGAAAAGAGTAGGCCTACTATTTTGGTTAAAGCCTTGTATCTAAAATAAGCCCGAGAGCATTAGGCCATTCATTTACATTTTAATCAACTGAAAGAGGAGGTCTATTGACTCAGAGATCATTAACTAACATGTACCTGCATTGTTGAACATTGAGATTATCATGTTGTTTCGATGGCCCCGAGATTTTACAGCTGTTTTTTCAAATGCTAATTAAGCAGGAGTTCGATCTGGATAAATTAATACGGACACATTAGATCAGGACAATTTGAATACGAATGAAGAGGTGAAACTCACAGTAATGCTGCTGGTTGACTGAAACATTTAACGTTCTCCACTATATAAAATGTTTGTTTTAAAAGTAGGCTTATTCATTTATAGCCTGCCTATATGATTTCTGTCGTCCTCTTGAAACATTTTATTTTGCTGTTTGCAATATTAGCTATGTCAAGCACAGACATTTAGATAAATAAATGAAAAATTATATTGAAAAATTAACACATTTTAATAGATTTAGATATTTAAAAAAAAGAAGAAGAAGAATTATTTTAGGCTATTTAAAAAAAAGAATTCAAAATAATTCCGTTTGAGTGGCCCTCCAATAAACTAAAAGAGGTTTGGCCGAGCAGGGGGTTTGTGGCGCCCCCTTCAGCACTCAAATTACACTCAGAATTCATGAGTGGGGTCCAATGAATGATAAATTCGTCAATCCATTAGGAAAATTATTTAAAGGTAGGCTATAGTTTTTACTTTGTTCTTGAATCTACATATTGCCGAATTCTTATTAAATGTGGTGTGATGTGAGATATTTTTGCAATGAAACTGCAACAGGTTCAGCGTGCACATTTTAGAGTGTCTAATTCTCCTTGGAGTGTCTCTAATTAGTCTTCACAATTTAATAGAAAAAAGGAGATTAATTTTACGTTTTAGGCTATTAATTAAACGTTTAATTATAGTCCAAATAATCAAGTGTGCTTTGACAACATTTACATGTTGTTAAGGATAGAGTAAATACTTGATAGGCTACATCTACATGACCAACGTCACGAGGGCACGCCCACACAACGCTCCTTATAATGGGACAGGTAGGATGTCAAACGTATTAGAGACGCAGTGTCTGCCTCAGACTGAATGAGACTGAACAACTCACTAACATTTGCAACATGGCTCTTGCAGATGCGATGTTGCCGTCGATAAATACTTTTTCAAGCAACCAGATTTTAGACCAAAAGCAGTCTGAAATTGTTCGGGTGAGTTCAACTCTTCTTTTAAAGTTATTTAAGGTAGCCGAGGCTATTTAAAAAGTATTTTGCGTGTTTAATATGTAGGGTAAGCATTTACATTTCGTGTGTTGCTTTACGCTTAACTAATCGCAGGAGTTATCCTATAAATTTATGGTAAATGGAGGTTAACAAAAACAATAGCCTAATATAGCCTAATAATAATAATTATATAGCCTAATAAGTCTGAGGAGAAAACCATTGCAACATATAAGGACAATTATCGTATACAGCTAAATTGGCAAAACATAAAAACGGTCATTATAGCCTATAGCTTACATTGCAAGAACGAATTGTTTTGTTAAGTGAAAGGTAGTTGACGTTTGACTGAGTTGTGAATCCCAAATAGTTGCGCAGAAAGTTGACGGATTATATCTCTCCATTTTGCTGCTTAAAGCCTATTTAGCCATCTTAAAAATATTCTTGCTTAGTGGATTTTTATTTTAATCACCGATCATATGAGAAAGGTGTCTAATCCGAATGTTTTTCCTCCCTCAGGACTGGAAAGTTGACCCAACTAAGACAGTTGGAGACGTGAGACCCCTCATCGAAGTAGAGTTCAGCATTGTCGAATCTCCATCTTTGGCCAAAGACGAGGACGATCTTTCCAAATTTTTGGATCTAGAGTTCATTCTGTCTAACTCTGTCACGTCTGACATTGACAACAACTCAGCGCAACCGCCGCCCGCCTATTCTCTACCGGAGTCACCCGAAAGCTGCAGTACTGTGTATGACAGCGATGGATGTCACCCGACGCCGAACGCTTTTTGCGGCAACAACTTTACAGCACGTCCCGGCCACAGTCTGGTAGCCGAGTTGTTTACCTCGGACATGAATTATCATGGCGACTCGCATGATTTTAAAGACAGACTGGAGTACACAGAACTAAGGGCTCTAAACTGTCGAAACCATGTGTCCACTTCTAATAACGTGGGATACAAAATAAAATCCGAAAACCACGAGCAATCCTGCATGATGGCCAACGACTACGTGGGTCATTATTATGGACAAGAACCCCAGCGCGTGATGACTTACGGGCATCACGTTCAACACGATGTGCCTCGGGACGTTTTAGGGAGGAAAGACTGCATCCTAACAGAAATGAACTCTCACCATAACATTGAAATTGCACAGCAACAGCAGTTCATGAATAGCGCGCATTTTCCTCCTCAATACGCCCAGCATCAGCAGTATCATGGACATTACAGTATGTTTAGCGAACCACTGCGGGCAAATCACCCGGCCATGCCAGGTGTGTTGCTGACTCCACCATCCTCACCGCTCCTGGGATTTTTAAACCCAGAAGACAGCAAGCCAAAACGAGGGCGTCGGTCATGGGCACGAAAACGGACTGCGACGCACAGCTGTGATTTCCCCGGATGTGGGAAAACGTACACGAAAAGCTCCCATTTGAAAGCGCACATGCGGACACACACAGGTATGTTGTGGAATTGTTGTTGTTTTGACTTAATTTCTCACTTTTTGGAACACAGTAGCCTAATAAATGTTTCCCCCGTTCTGTTCACAGGTGAGAAACCCTACCACTGCAGCTGGGAAGGCTGTGGGTGGAAGTTCGCCAGGTCAGACGAGTTGACGCGTCACTACAGGAAACACACCGGACACAGGCCGTTTCAGTGCCACCTGTGCGAGAGAGCTTTCTCCCGCTCGGATCACCTGGCCCTGCACATGAAGAGGCACATGTAGGCTAACCAACAACTGAAAAAGAGACTATCTATTTTAAACGACAAGATAATTTTATATTGTTAGGACAATTCCTATTTTGGGACAGCAGTTATTATGTGAATAGCAGTATAATGTAATTTCCTTTAAATTATGTCAGTATTTAATAGAAGGAGATTCTTGTTCATTTAGAAGGTAAATTAGTACTTTCCCAGATGTATAAAAACGGGGCAGGACCCATACTTTTGTATAGGCTATATGTTTTTTTTGTTTTTAAATCTCAATTTAAACATTTGTATCAAGTCAGGGAGTATTTTTTCATGGATTTTCAGAATTAAAAGCATTGTCTTTTTGTACTCAGCCTTTTGTCTCATTTTCTTACTTATTTCTACACAAAGAGAAGCACAAATACGTTGGCAAAATAAATTATGAATGTAAATTGATAATATATTCATCAAACAAATAAAATTAAAAGAAGAGTGTGATTTGTAGGGTTAGGGCCCTTCATAGGGTCTATAGCCTAGATATTTGTCTTTTTTAAAATGTCTAATGCTTACTACAGTTAGGCCTATCATCGCTCTAAATTCTAAAAATCAAGTAGCCTAATTAACTTATCCAACATCACCATAACTGTCTACTCTTAATCATCACAAATATTGTAAATAATTCATTTAGTCGTCAAGAACAAAAATATAGGATTCTCTATTAGGCTATGCTACAACCTGTTACTGCTACTGGTCTTTCAAAGCTAGAGTATATCGTCCTCTACTGTCTGAAAATATGTAAGCAGCCACAGAACCTCATCTGTTCTCAAACCAAGCTTATTAAGACTGACGTGACGTGTATGAAAAAATAATTAATAATGGAAAATAACTACACATGTTGCTTGAGTTTGGTTACAACTAAACACTTGCAGTCTCCCTCTCCTGTCCCTCACCTGGCAAGAAGTCATAACACGTTTCTCTCGAATTATATTGATCAAGTCTACTTTCCATATTTGCATATAATGTGAAAAAAACAGACAGTATCCATATCAGACATTTAGAGCACAATCCAACGTCCGTTCGCAACGTTAAATATCAAAATCATAATTCATTTTCGTTGTGTAAAGTTTATCTGTAGGTATCGATTTCTACCACGAGATGGCAGTCTTCCCTATGGTTTGTCTCTGATATTACACTTGCTGATGCAATGTCACATGTTGACGTTGTGGAGGAGCACACAACAAAGATGTTCTTCGTGTTTAGAAGTAAGTTAGGCTATTGGTGAACAAAATAAAACTGTAAATGTAAAAATAACTTTAAATGTACAAGACAAATGCTAAATCATAATCCTCTAAGAGTAGCCTAAGAATTCATTTGGAATTTCGTATATTGCTCCTCATTTTCCCAAACACTCCTTTAACTATTAACTTGTTAGCATCTAATGATGTAAGGACAGAATATGCTCACTTTCATCCCTTTCAGCATTATTAAACATCTGCTGCTAGTTGTGGTTTAATTTAGCTATCATAACCGATTGTATAGCTTAAATGCTTATTGGAGACATGACAGCAACGTTACTGTCACAAAGACCTAAACTACAGTTTACTAGCTAACACACTTAAGTTATGCCTCTGAATAGGCTTTGTTTTTTCCATAAGTCCCCATAACCATTTAGAGACTCATTCTGCCTCTTCCGAGAAATAATTTAATATCATTGCGTAGCATGCCATTTTCTCAGCAGAGAGGCAAACTTAGAGAAGGACCAATGGTAGCTGTTAACTTACACCTTACAGCTGAAGTCAAGCATTCGTTTGTATTGCTTGCAGTTGTTAAACCCACCTCCGCTGCGCAGCGGCGCGTGAACGTGGAAGCGTGTAGTAGCCTATATCCTCCTTATATCATCTTCCAGGATATTTAGAGAACAAAAAGGTAACGAATGTGCGTCTGTCGCTAAATGTCCTCATTTCACCCATGTTATTCATTCCACGCTCCCTTATTTTTTGTTTGCTTCGAAATCTGTTGCTATGCGACAGAGCTGTAAGATTTTGGCAGCACACAATCTTTTTGCATTCATTACATTTAAATGGTCCATAAACCATAAACAGCGAAGTTAGAAATTAACAGGTTATTAAAAATATCACATAGTTTTATTTGCAATTTCAATGTGAAACTGTTACTCAATATCATCGCAGGTCTATTGTCTCCCGGAAACATCCACCAACCGCAGCAAAACGCACGTGCTCACTAGGTTGCTACTACCGGTAAGTTAAATATTAATCTTAGCCAGAGATAATCTCTGTCAATCACAAACGATCCTAATTATTGAATTTATATATAGCCTATTTATTCTGTTTATTAGCTATACGTCCAAAATTATTTGAGAGCTATTTTTTACGAATGTTAATTTATGGTGTAGAAGTTAGTATTTTCAAATAACATAACAACAATCAGTCAACGCACTGTTTGGTAACGTTAGTTTTTATTATGCTGAAGTGATTTTAAGCTCTCAAATGAAAGAAACTTCCATCTTCACGTAGCCTATGTATGGTGTTTTTTTTTTTGTTTTTTTTTAACGGTGTATGGGAGTGTGTATGAAGGGGGCTGGGCCACATCTGAACATCTGAGCACTTTGAATAGGCTATTGGAAGTTTATCAAAGAAGTGTCCATCAATTTAATGAGAAGATAGTGTTCAAAACTCTTTAGACACCCGTAATACTTTCATAGCATCTGTAACAGATCCACTGACAGTGCTGTCTTCTGTATAACACCGAGGAGCAAGCGATGGTAAGACCAATGATACCACACGTAGCCTACACTGAGTAATCCTTCCGTATTTTATTTCATATCACCAGAAAGATGTTCCTCGGTTTAAAGACTTAGACTACTATAATTGTACAGATAGGCTATTTAGTTTAATAGAAACGTTAAACTATTACTTGTTTGTTTCAGGTCAGACTTCTTTTTCTACTAACAGCATTAGCCTACAGAGTGGAAAAAGTGACAGCAATGATGCTGTTTTATATTTTGGGCCCTAAACTACAGAATAATTGCACCCTTTTAATATTTAGATATTTATTTGTCTAATAAACGTGCATGTGAAGGGCCTGTTGTACCAAATTCCTCCATATCAGGCGGTGAAAATTATTCTAGTGGTTTAAAGGGTTTTTCCTCTTGCTTTCATTTTCAGATTCATGTTCAATTTAAATGACTTCATATTACCACATTTGCGACACCTTTAATCGTTTTGATTGCAATCATTTACGGTGACAAATGTCAGGCACTCTTTGTTAGATTGACTCTTGTCTTACTTCAGATTCAGGCGCTTAAATTGCCTCAATGATCAATATGTGTTCGTGAATGTGTAACATTAGATATCAAGAAAGATCTCAAGAAAATACAGAAAGTCATACATTTAGTGGGCTAACATTCTTAAAATGTGGATTGTTTTGAAAAAAAAATCAAGGAAATGCCTCTTATTTTCACAGAATGTTGTTACACAACCTTTGGTGGTTTCTAATGGTTTCTCATGTTACATTTACATTAATTCAAAGTGACCTACAAATGAGATTAAGTACTATACTTTACTTAGGTTATGTCAGGTGGTTTTGATGTTGTAGAAGTACTTGTCCTGTAGTTTAGGTGTAATAATTTCTCATGCATTTTTATCAAGTAGCAAAGTAGTAAAATAATACAGTATTGCCCTACTTTAACTGACAAATGCTTTCTAGTGCTTTTCAGGATAATAAATATATTTAGTTTAGTTATTTTACCATGTTCAGTTTTCTTTCTATGCTTAATTTGTAACTTTGTCATATAGTAGATTGTTCTGTTTTAAAGGAGCAATGTGTGATTTTTAGCGACATCTAGTGGTTCGGTTGCGAGTTTGCACCAGGTTTGCACTAAGGGCTCAGCCCACTGCTCACCCCTCCCTTTCGAAGAAGCTACGGTTGCTAAAACGGGACAAACATCTCGTCGGCTGAGACAGCAGAGAATAGCCAGAGTAAGCCAAGAGTGTGTAACATTGTCACTGTTTCTGTACCACAGTCCATTATAAACCACATCATGGATACTGTTTACAAAGCCATAGTCAGGTGAGGATCAAGGGTTTTAATATATAATTTAATAAAATAATATTAATATTAATCAGCTGATTGTCTCACAAACGTAACCAGCAGCACATTTACCCCCACATACTGTAGCAAACCCATAATACAGCGAGGGAGCAGCTATATATTTTTTCTAACAGGGTAGTAATAGTTTAGCTGGCTAATATGAGCTGGGACTCGTCCGCATGAGTCCAAAGGTCGGAACTGAGCACGCTGTTACAATCATGTCATCTCCGCATCCCATAGATAATTTACTACACACAATAGGCTTTTTTTCTCTGATTTTGAAAAATCTTCGCGATCGACTTTAGTGATAAAAGACTTTAGTAAAAGTCTCTATCGACGGGTTAGTGATTCCTGTAACGTACTGTTTTACGGTCAATGACATGAATACTAATCATCAGCTGTCTCACGAACGTAACAGCACTATCCCCAACATAACAAACCCATAACACAGCGAGGGAGAACTAAGTTACATGAAACAATCCCAACTACATATTTTACACCACTCACAAGGGAAAAGTCACTACTCACGGAGTGTAAGGCTAGCTTTCCGCTACTTCTCTTTCAAGGTAGTGATGAAACGCGTTCTGTAGCACTGTGTGTTCGCGTTCGGCTACGGTAGGAATATGACGTCACAACATGGCGACCTTCATAGAAGGGGATTCCCGCGGTTATGGGGCTATTAATGTCTCATTCTAAGGTAATAAAAACATTACGGTTAATTAAGTAAGTTCTTTATACACCACTGAAAACATAGTTATGGATGTCATATTGCATTTCTGTTAATAGATACTCAACTTTGTTACACATTGCACCTTTAAAGGTATAGAGCTTTCTTGAATGATTTATCATTTCTGGCTAATACTCAGTTGCTGTCATATTTTTAAAAAGAAACGATATTCATAGCACTATTTTGATATTTAAACCAGCACTTTTAACATATAGGTATTATTTTACGCATTTATTATTGACTAAACACTAGACAATACTTATTTAACAGAAAATAATTGTGTATACATGAATCTGGCACTTACATTGATTTGGTTGGAGCGATATTCAAGAACACACTATAATTCAATCTGCTTTGCTTCATTCTGCCATTGGAATCTAATTAAAACATCGTTGCCTTTCCGATTTCCTTAAAATAAGGAAAAGGCCAATAGTAAACAAATAAAAGACCAACCGCCAACATTCAATTGCACACAGGCCTAAGAAGAAATTAGGTTAACCTGTGATGTAACAGATTGTTATAGCATACTTTGCACG